AATTCGTTGCATGCTTTATCTTTACTTTTTACTTTGGCATCACACATCCACTTGTGTTCCTCTTATTCACCTCAGAAAATGCTTACCAGTTTAAAGACCAATTTCACTGGCTCGTAACCTCTTCATTTTCAAATATATCTATATCTATATATAATAGATGCAACGATTTCTATTTTAGAAGTTAAATGAAAAATAAGTTTTTAACCATTTTTAGAATTTTGCTGAGGTGCAGTAATTTTTTTTTTTCCTCTAGAGATTTTTTTTTTATTTTGAACTTTCTTTTTCTATTCTAAAAATTTCTCTCTGGGAATATTTCTGAAATTATTATTCTTTGTTGATATTTTAAATGCAGGCCTCGGACTCGTTCTATTGATACTTTTTTGACACTATTTTCACATCATTCAACTATTTAGATACTATTTTTCTAAAGAAGTTGACAGTGACACTTATTTCGGTGAAAATAACGCCATTAATTAATTTCTTAAACCAAAAATTTAAATATTAATTTATTCAGTGAAGAAATTAAAGAAAATAATTAAATTCTTGGATTAAAATTGTATTGAAAATAATTCAATTCTTCAAAAGAATTTTATTGTTCATAATAATAATAATTGGAATTCAGTGAAGAAAAAGAAAATTTTTTAAAATAATAATGTATTATTTTGTAGAATATGAAATTTTTTAAAATAATTGAATTTCTGCGAATAATAATTCAATTCAGTGAAAAATTTTATTAAAATTTTTAAAAGTATAGTAATTTTAAAAAATAATTAAATTTCAGGGAAGTATTTAATTGTTTATAAAAATAATTGAATTTAGTAAAGAATTTTATTGAAAATTTTAAAAATAATTGAATTCCTGTAAAGAATTTTATTAAAATTTTTGAGAATAAATGATTTTTTATAAAATTTTATAAACTTTAAACTGTTTTGAAGAATTTCTTTAATTTTTTAAAATAATAATGGAGTTTTTAAAATTTTAATTAAAGATTTTTGAAAGTCATTGTATTTTATGAAGAATTTTTTTCAAGTTTTAATTCAGTGAAGAATTTTATTAAAATTTGTGATAGTAATTGAATTATTTTGTAAAATTTTATGGAAGTTATTAAAAATAATTAAATTTCAGCGGAGAATTTTCTTATTTATTTAAAAATAATTAAATTGTTTCGTAGAATTTCATTAAGATTTTTGAGAATAATTGAATTCTTTTGAAGAATTTTATGAACATTGTTGAAAATAATTGAATTTCTTCGAAGAATTTTAATGTTAATAGAAATAATTGAATTCAGTGAAGAATTTGATTAAAAATTTTAAAAATAATTGAATTTCAGCAAAGAAATTTATTGTTTATAAAAATAATTGAATTCAGTGAAGAATTTTATTAAAATTTGTAATAGTAATTCAATTATTTTGTAGAATTTTATGGAAATTATTAAAAATAATTTAATTTCAGCTGAGAATTTTATTGTTTATTAACAAATAATTGAATTTCTGCGAAGAATTTTATTCTTTATATTTTATAATAATAATTCAATTCAGTGGAAAATTTTATAAAATTTTTTAAAAGTAAATAAATTAAATTTTGTAGAATTTATTTGAAATTTTAAAAAATAATGAAATTTCAGCGGAGTATTTAATTGTTTATAAAAATAGGCAATTCAATTCTTGTAAAGAATTTTATTGCAATTTTTAAGAATAATTAATTTTTTTTCTAGAGTTTTATAAACTGTAAAGAATTTTAAAGAATTTTTTCAATTTTTTTAATAATAATGCAGTTTTTGAATTTTAAATTTGAAATTTTTAAAAGTAATTGAATTTTATGAAGAATTTTTTTTCAAGTTTTTAAAATAATCGTATTGGTTAATAATATTGTAATTTAACATTTCATTATTGAAATTTGTTAAAATTTTTAAAACATAATTAAAGGAAGTTTATTAAAATTTTATTAAAAATAATTGAATTCTTCTTATGAAGAATTTTATTAAAATTATTGAAAATTGAATTCTTTCGAAGAATTTCTATAATTTTTTTAATATCATCGATGTTGTTAATAATTATAATAAATAATTTTATTAATTAAATTGATTGATAACTAAATTCTTGTAAAGAATTTTTTAAAGTTTTTTTTTAAATATTGCAATTTTTATAATAATTTTAATTGAAAATTTCGAATATAATTAAATTCTTTCGAGAAATTTTATAAAAATTGTACTGAAAATAGTTGAATTTTATGTAAAACATTTTTTCAAAACTGAGACTAATTGAATTCTTTTGAAAAATTTTATTGTAATTTTAAAAATAATTGAATTCTTTCGTGAAATTTCATTAAAATTATACTGCAAAAATTAAATTCCTGCGAATAATCTATATTAATAAAAATAAATTAATTGATTTTTTAAATAAATTAATATTTACTTTAAATGAATTAATATTGGTTTTAAGTAAATTAATATTTACTTTAAGTAAATTGACATTTATTTTAAGTAAATTAACATTTGCTTTAATTAGACTAATATTTACTATAAATGAAATTAATTTTTTTTTAATTAACTAATGTCCAAAAATAAATTTATATTTATAATCATAAAAGTGAAAAGAATAGTTCAACTATTAAAAATCGAAGTAAAATTTATTTTCGTAAGCAGGCATCTTTTATTATTTTTTTTAAAATTATTAATAAATGATCTTCACAGTAGTAACTTATTAAAGCTGTAAAACAGTTTATTAACATTTAACAAATAGTGATAAAGCTCCATTAATTTACAGCTTATTAAAGCGGTTAATGTTCTGTTAAACAAGTGGAGAGATGTTGAATGAATGATAACGTGACAGGTGTCCACAAAGAATTTGACTTTGATTTTTCTGTTTTTCAACGTCTACTTAATATAACTTACTAAAAGGTTACTTAATTATCATTATTTATGGTTGATTATTCTTTCACTTTTTCTTTTATTCAAAAAAAAAAAAAAAATTGAAATTTTATTTCCTTCTAAATATATACAATTACTTACACTAAATTACCTACTTAAAAGTCTCGTAGTGTTTGAAGGAACAGACAAAGAAAAAATTTTCGTTAATTTTAAACAAATTTTTTTCACTAAATTCGAGTCAAAAATTTAATCATAACTAATTAAAGCAAAATTTAATCAATTGTTATTGTTTCTCTGATATAATCGGTAATTAATTACTTAATATCGGATTTTTTTTCTCAAATAAAAAAAAAAAATATAAGAAGGCTTTATTTTGAGATAAGATATGTAAAATAGATTTTTCTTTTTAAAATTGAAAATTGAAATTTTTTTGAAAAATACATGTATTATGATAATTAGAGTATGGATTTATGAGAAAATTAGAAAAAAAAAGTTAATCTCGATTTAATTTATTTTCATAAAAAAAAGTAATCTTATCATTTTTAGATTGTACGTTGAGTTGTACTTACGTCAAGTCTGCTGAGACTATGATGAAAGTAAAATTGAAGTTAGATATAATTAATTGGAATATTATCTATCTTTTTTATATATTTGAATTAAAAATTTCTTTGTAATTTTTTTCTCTTCTTTTTTCACGTTACTTTTTTTTCTATTTTTACTGTATTTTAGACGATAAAGGACAGACAGTCGAATCAAAAGTTATGAACTTATTTTCTTATCAATTTTTTAAAATTAGAAAGCAATTTATGATCAAAAGTGTTACTGGGTAGTTTTCGAAAACATTTTTTGAAAAAAAAAATTAATAATTGATTAATTACTAAATAACTAAATAAATAAGTTAATTAATTATTTAAATATTTATTTGATTAAAGACAAGTAATCGTTTATTTATGGACAAATAATTATTTATTTGAATGACATTTTTTTCACTGTTATTTAAAAAAAAAAAATTATAAAATATGAAAATTTCAGAATTTGCGAATAAATAAATTTTAGTGACAATCGAAAATTCTTATCGTTTTTGAATTTTTATTCAGTGATAAATTTTCATGCTTCAATGTGGCAAAAATAAAATTGTTTACACTTTTTTTGCAATAGTTTTTGAATATTTGAATTTTAAAAAAATATTAAGTTGGAGTAATTTTTGATATAATCGTGAAGAAGAAAAATTTTAATTGAAATAAAAAATAGAAAAAAATTTTAATTTACAAAAAATGTTACAATGTAGAAATTAAAAATCACTTAGCGGATGATTCATTGGTTTGATTAAATATAATTAGAGAATTACGTGAGTTTACACAGGTACAATGTTGTTAAATTGACCTCTAAATATAATAACCTTGATAATTAAAATTGTATTTGGAAAATGAAATTCTTAATTTGGAGTTTTCTTGTACCATTTCCTAAAATAGATTTAAGTGAGATTGAAAAAAAAATTAAGTTTCTATCCCTCCTGTCAATTTCCGTCTCTTTTTACAAATTTTCAATTTACTTTTGAATACCTGAACTTGATTTACTGCTTTTTTGAGGTGTGGTATTGATTCAAGATGTGTAGATACGTCAGTGTTTTTTTCTCTCTCTCTGTCCTTTTTTCTGTTTCTATTTTAGAAAATAATTTTAATTAAATATTTACTTGAATCGAATAATTGTTATTTGAGTCAATTAAATTGTATTTGCTTCAAATACTAATTGGTTTCAATAATTATTGGTTCAAAATTTGATTTAGAGAAAAATTATTTCATTCAAGTAAATATTTATTTGGTAATAATTAAACAAGTAATCGGTTATTTTAATCAAATAAATTTTTTTTCAGTGTAATATTTATATTTTTATATTTTATCCTTAAAAAATTGTTTTATAAAATTAATTATTATAATATAATTTTGTAATATTTTTACAATATTCGAGAACTAAGTGAAAATAATTCTTATTGGACATTTTTGAATACAAAAAAAATTTTTTATAAATGAACAAAAAACTATTTTTAAAATTAAAAATTATTCAATTATTTTGAAATAAAATGTATTTTTTGATGATGATTAATAACAGTGGATTTTTTTTTCGTTTTCAGCCTGTCAGTGAGTGGACATCTTTAAATGTTGTTGAATGGATGTCTGCTCTCAACCTTTATCGCTATGCAGACGTTTTCAAGTCCAAGGACATTAAGGGTAGCGATCTACTTCATCTGGACCGCGAGAAGCTAATGGTGAGCACGACTTCTCTTCTTCTCTTTAGAAAATATTTTTTTAATTCTTTTTTTTTATTCATAAGGAAAATAAAAAAATATTTCTCTTCAGTCATTTTAAATCTATTCATTGTTATATTTCGGTTTCATTTATTATTCACACGAAAATTTATCAAAGTTTTTTTTCTCTTTTTTGCGATAAATATTTATATTATTGTTTGAAGAGACACTTTTAAAGAAATTTATTCTCTTTGATGTCGTCGAATTGTGTAGAGTGTAAATTGAAAATTCTATTAAAATAGAAAATTTAGTGAACGAAGGAATTGTTAGAGAACATAATTGAATTAAAATTTTTGGAATTTCAATTATAGATCGTTTAATTATTTTCAAGAGAAAAATTTTCAAACGAAAAATTTTTATTGCTTTTCATGTGAAAAGTACTTTTTTTCATTAATTTTTGATTAGAAGTGTTGTGAATTTAAATTTTCGGCGTTAAAAATTCTACTTTTTACTTTTATTTGCTTTTTTGTTTCCTATTTTTTTTTTTATTTTTTCATTTAAAAAGTTTAAATTAGTACTCTAATTTAACGTTTTGAAGAGGCCTCGCTTTGAAGATTAAATTATTAATAGTAACAAAAATTAATTAAGCGAAATTGTTTTGAGTTAAAAATCAATTAAAAATCAATTAATAAAAGTATTTGAAAATAATTGAATATTTTTCCAAGAATTTTATCAAAAATTTTCAGAACAATAAATAACAATAATAATTAATTAATTAGTTAATTAGTTAAAAAGTGATTTTTCTTCAAATTTTAAAAACTAAACAAATCTTTTGAGAATTTTGACAATAATTTTATTACAAACAATTCAATTTAATTATTAAATTCTTATAAAGAATTTTATTAAAATCTTTGAAAATTTATGAATTTTTGCGAAGTATTTTATTAAACATTTTTATTATAATTAAATTCTTTGAAAAAAGTCTATTGATATTTTATTGAAATCAATTTAATTTATATGAAGAATTTTATTATTTATTCAAATAATTGACTTAATTCCAAATATTTTGAAATTAAATGAAAAATAATTTATTTCATTCAAGAATTTTGATTAAAATTATGTTTAAAATAATTGTACTGAAAATAATTTAATTCTTTCGAGAATTTTGATTAAAATTGTATTGAAAATAATTCAATTGTTGTGAAGAATTTTTTAAAAATATTTGAAATCAATTAAATTATATCAAGAAATTTAATCAAAATTGTATTGAAAATAATTGGAATTTTTTCGAAAATTTGGATTACAATTTTATTAAAAATAATTTAATTCTTATAAAGAATTATATTAAATTTTTTGGAAAATAATTGAATTATTTCGAGAAAGTTAATCAAAATTGTACTGATAATTTATTTATTTTTTTTTTTAAGAATTTTGATTAAAATTTTATTGAAAATAATCCAATTCTCATAAAGTATTTAAAATTTTTTTTTTAAATAATAGAACATCTGCGAAGAATTTTATTGTTTTTTTTAAATAATTGAATTCAGTGAAGAATTTTATTGAAATTTTAAAAAATAATTGAATTGTGTTTTAGATTTTCGTTAAAATTTTGGAGAATAATTGAATCCTTTCGAAGAATTTTATAAAAATTTGTTGAAAATAATTGAATTTCTTGGAAGAATTTTATTAAAATGATATTGAAAATAATTCAATTCTCATAAAGTATTTAAAACATTTTTTTTGGATAAAAGAACATCTGCGAACAATTTTATTGTTTTTTTTAAAAACAATTGAATTTAGTGAAGAATTTTATTGAAATTTAAAAAAATAATTGAATTGTATCTTAGAATTTCATAAAAATTTTGTAAAATAATTAAATCCTTTCGAAGAATTTTATAAAAATTTGTGGAAAATAATTGAATTTCTTCGAAGAATTTTATTAAAAGCAATTGAATTCAGTGAAGAATTTTATTGAAATTTTAAAAAATAATTGAATTGTGTCTTAGATTTTCATTAAAATTTTCGAGAATAATTGAATCCTTTCAAAGAATTTTATAAAAATTTGTGGAAAATAATTGAATTCCTGTGAGGAATATTATTATTTATGAAAATAATTGAATTCCTATGAAGAATGTAATTAAAAATTGTAAAAATAATTGAATTGTTTTCGAAATTATCTACAAACATTTTTTTAAATAATAAAGAATATTAATTAATGAATTTTACCTCTCTAATTAATATTCTTAAGAATTTAATTAAATTAAACTTATATTCTTTATTATAAATTAATTTTTTCGATTTTTGGAAGATGTATAAAAAGTAAAAGAAAGACACTCTTTTACTTTTTTATAAATAATATAAAAAAATTTATAACAAAGTAAAAGAATATTTTTCTTTTACCTTTTATACGTCTTCCAAAAATTGAAAAAAAAACAATTTATTAAATAATTGTGGAAGAATTTACAAGATATTGAATTCTTTATTATTAAAAATGAATTTTTTTTTTATTTGTAATCTGAAATTATTGAAAAATTGAAATTCAGATAATTTTTTTCTTTTTGATAATTGAAATAACTTTTTTTTTCGATTTTTGATAATTGAGATAATTTTCTTGCTCTCTTTTTCGATAATTGAGATAAATTTTTGTGTGATATTTTATTTTTGATTTTTGCAGAACATGGGTATAAAGGATGAATTCCATCAGAAGAATATATTAGTATGCATCGAGGAACTTTGCCAACCCTCGTCTCCTTCGACTCTAGCTGGTTCGGAGACTTCGTACGTGACATTATCCGTCAACGAAACGGGAGGCACTGGCAATAATAGTAGCAATGTCAATACTACGTCAACCACCACAAGCACCACCAGCAACGCTCACAATCTCGTGCCTCATAGTTTCAGTGTCTTGGAGAGGTGCGAAAAATGCCATAAATACCTCAGGGGTCTATTACATCAAGGCTTTCTCTGCCAAGGTAAATTTTTCGCATCTTTATTGTTTTCTGCTCTTTCATTTTTTTTTCTTTTTTTTTTTTTGTGTTGATACTTCACCTTGATAATATTTCAATATTGATCCACTTGGGGATAATATGACAATCTTGATCATTAAACCCAATCATATAGTTGACTAATTGATTGTTGATTGAGCCGCGTTCACAATTTTACGCCTATATCACTTCTTAGATATATATATACACACACAATTTCTCCCCTCTTGTGTGCTTTTGATAGTAATTAGTAAATAAATTCACAAATTTACTCTTCACTTTCGGTAGATGACAATTTTTTGACAAAATTAGTTTTAGCACTTTATTTAAAAACTTGTTTACCATTTTCTTTGAAATTTGTTTGCAAATTTATTTAGTCTTGATGGTAATTTATTATAAACTCGTTGGCAATTTATTTAAAATTGTTTTGGCAATTTTGCCAAAAAAGAAGAGAAAAATGAAAAGAAAAAAGGAAGGAAGAAAAATTTAGTTGGCATTTTAGAAAATGAATTGTTCTTAAAATTCATTATTAGAAAAGAAGAAAATTCAGAGAAATTAATTGCTTTTGAGGAAAACCATCCCTTGGTGAATGATTAATATGACTTCTTAATAGCTATCAAAACTTTGAAACTAAAACTCTCTTTAATCTTCTTCAAAAACATCGCGGGAAAGAAAGTATATTGTTAATTATCTTGATTTAAATTGTGATTAAAATTAAAAGACTTTCTTGTACTTTTCTTACATTGTAAATCTTTTTATTTTTTTTTTTTGAAATATTTTTCTTTCACATTTTTGTTCTTTTTAAAATAATTGACAAAGTTTGTAAATTTATTTTTTAATTAATTCAGAATGGCATTTAATTTTTTATTTTCTGTTGAATTTATTTTATTTCGAATCGAATTAGTTTTATTTTATCTCGAATTAATTTCAAATCATCTCGAATTCATTCCAAATCATCTAGATTTAATTTTATTTCGTCTCAAATTATTTTGAAATCGTCTCGATTGAATTTTATTTCATCCCGAATTAATTTTATTTAAACTCGATTTTATTTTATTTCATCTCGAATTAATTTCAAATTGTCTAGATTTAATTTTATTTTGTCTCGAGTTAAATTTATTTCATCTCAAATTAATATATTTAATTCTAAATTAATTTCAAATCTTCTCGATTTAATTTTACTTGATCTAAATTGAATTTTATTCTCTTTCAATTAAGTTGAAATAAAATTGAATTATGATTTTAATGTTTAGTGAAAAAATAGTAATTTTTAATTAGAAAAATTAATGAAAAAATCAATTTTTTCCAAAAGTACTTTATTTACTGAAATTTTTGAGAAATAATTATTGGGATTTGAATAATATTGCGAATATTTAAAGTTGCTGCAAACATAATAATCAATTGATAGATGCGAGATAATTGTAGAAAGCGGAGAAAGAAAACGTCGGTATAATTATTATTATCCTAGGTAAAAACTGAGATTTCTTCTAATTAACAAAATATTTTTTTTTCAATTATTCACAAGTTGCGAACAAATATTTTCAAAAATTTTTTTGCAATAAATAGCAATAATTTTTTGAAGCAATAAAAATCGACTTGAAAAAATAAACAAAAAAATTGTTATTTTGAACCTTAGGGACATTTTTTTAAAAATTGGAATAGAATAATCTTAATTATATTTTCAATTATCCAACCAAAATATTAAAAAAAATTTCTGGGGAAAAATTATTAAAATTGAGATATTATTTTTATTTTTAATTTTTTTTTTTTAACGGCAAATTTAAAATGTAGTGTACCCTATCGAGGACATTCTTATAAATATTTTTTCCACTAGATTAAACTTGAAGATATCTTGAAAAATAAAATGTTTCCGAGGCAAGTGACTTGTAAAGTCTATTGACCTGATTTTAAAAGAAAAATTTCATCTTTAAAAATTCTTTTTATAAGATTAAAATCCTGCTCTTATAAATTGCAGTCTTTTCTATTTTAAAATCAATCATATAATATTATGTCTATTTGGAGGTTGAAAAATGATTTTCTTTTTTTTTTTAAAGGAGGGAAAATCATGTTGTTAAGTGATTGACAAAGATTTAGGTGTTTAAATGCCACATTGCGGCTAATGAGTTTTGTCCCATGAATAAATTTGTAATTTATAAATAGGTTCAAATTTTTTTATTTAAAATAACCGAGCGCGATATAATATGTGTTGCACTTTTTTTTAAGGTCACGTTTAAATAATGTTTTCCGCAATATTAGACATAAATTACTTTGAATGGAAAACCATTTTGAATATCATTATTTATTATTCTGAAAAAGGGGAATTTTTTTTTAATGGAATTACTATGGGGAAAAAATTATTTATTATGAAAGTAATTTTTTTTTTTTTAACATTTTATTCACAAGATGTCTTCTAGTTCAATTTAGTGATAAATATTTACAATTAAATGTTGAAAAAAAAGTAAAAATAACTAAAATTTTATTTCGATAATATTTTTGATTTTTTCGGAATTATTCACTATAGTTAAAAAAATTATTTGGCTAAAATTTTAATTGTTCAAGTGAACGAAATTTTTTCTTCATTCAGTTTTTTATTTTCAAAACTAACTACCAAAAAATAGAATATAAAATAAAAAGAAAAAAAAATATATGTATATATATTATATTTATAATTTTTTTGAACAATTGTTTTTAATACAATTTGTTTAAACAATTGTTTTTTTTTATCAATTTTCTCTAACAATTGTTTTTTAAACAATTTGTTTCTATTATAAAAATTTTTTTGCGAAAACAAATCTTAAATTGCAGAAATAATTTATCTCGAGAATTTTAATTTAAAAAAATTGCAAATTTTTATTATTACGAATTTTATTGAATATTTCTTTTCGCAAGCGTAATAATTTCTCTCTATATGTGTGAGAAAATTTCAATAAGCGATTAATAAATCAAATATTTACGTGAGAGATATATTTATTGTGATTTTAGTTTTCTTTAACATATTCACTAATTATTCTTAACTCTTTAAGTGTGTTTAAACACTCGTTAGAGTTATGCACAAAGGTTTTGCAAAACGAACAGGTTTTTCAGACTATTAGGCAAACTGCTTAGTGAATTGTCATTGGCATTAGACATAGTTTTATCAGAAACAAGAACGCATTATATACTTGTTTTAAATCGTTTAAATATTTCTGATAATTTTCCTGCTGGAAATTTTTTTTACATAATATATGTATATTTATAATTATATTCTAGAAAATGAAGATCATTCAACTTTTTTTTTACTGATTACTTTTATCATTTAGTTTACTTTATTTTTTTTTTCACTTTTTAGTATATTTTTATTTGCTAGTGTTAACGAGTAAACAATGGAAATAAACAAAATTTAATTTTATCATGGAAATTTGTTTTGTTTTATACAATGGAAAATGTTTATTTTATTTACATAACTGATTATTTGTCTATTATATGGAATAAATATTTACTTGTGTCAAATAATTTTAATTTATATTAAATAATTTTAATATTTGGAGAAAATAAGTAATAATGCCAAAAAATAAATAAAGTTAATATTGACCTAAGTAAAAATTATTTGATTCAAGTAAATTTTGATTAAAAATATAATAAATAATTGTAGAAAGTGGTTTCTTTTTTTAGAGAGAAAAAAGTGATTTTTTTTTAGAGAAAATTCATCTTAGATTGGAATTAAAAATTCGATTGATACTTTTTTTTTTGAGGGGTAATAATAATAATAATTATGTAGATACAGAAAAATGAGTGCCAGATGAGTGTATATTGTGGTGTTAAATGGTTGAGGCGCCGCTAACAAGCGACAACAGTCGACTTTATGGCTTCCGGTTGCGAAACATTTCGAGGCTCGCATAGTAAATGCACAAAGTTGTGCATGTAAAATTCTGTATAGATGAAGTTACATGACAATTGAGTATAAGTGCGTATCGTGTAACAGGCGCACGCTCAAATTAATGCTAATCTTACGAGCCAATGTATGAGTTTTAAACGAATCTCTTGATGACATTTTAACATTAAGATCAAACGATCCTCATGCGGTTCATTATATGAACGAATGCATACAATGATTCTTTTACGACACAACCGGGTCTCTCTCTCTCCGTTTGAATCTGCTTTTAATTTGTAATTTAGCGGTTAACCTTGATGTAACATAATATTTTTCTATAAAAGAGAGAGAGAGAGAAAGAGGCAGAATGTAGGAAATTATTTGTTTTTATAGATTCTGACATAAGTTGAATTTGTGGGAGAGAATCATTTTTTTTAGCACTTGTTTTGCTTACAGAATAAATTTGTTTTTTATTATCATTTTTCTTTATTAATTTATATTTGCCAGTTTATTAATAATAATACTGATAATAATTTTTATTTATTAATATTAATAATTATTATATTAATAATTAAAATATTAATAATTAATAATAATATTAACCAGGGTTAATATTATAAGTCAGAGAAAGTCAGAGAATTTTATAGTCAGGAATAAATTTGGGAAATTTTTTTTTCAATTCTTTCGGACACCATTAGAAGTAATTAATAATAATAAATAATAAATTAATGGTACTAATTAATATCTAACTAATAATAACAACTTATTAATAACTAGAGTATTCAGTGGACAGGGAAATCAGAGAATTTTTTTAAGTCAGAAAACAGGTCAGGAATAGTCAGGAATATTTTTCTCAATTCTTGCTGGGTACCCTGATAACGAATTAATAATATTAATAATAATATTAATTAAAGAAATTAATTTTGCGTAAACAAATGAATTTTTTTTTCAAAAGGTAACATTTTTGTTAAAACAATGTTATAATTTTCGAACTTTCATAATTTTGAATCTGAAATAATTTAATTCTTGAATGGAATTTTATTAAATTTTTAATAAATAATTGAATTTCTATGAAGAATTTTATTAAATTTTTTAAAATAATTGAATTTCTATAAAGAATTTTATTAAAATTTTTAAAAATAATTGAATTTCTATGAAGAATTTTATTGTTTATAAAAACAATTTTATTCAGTGAAGTTAAAAAAATGTTTTGAAGTAATTGAATTAATTTGTAGAATTTAATGGAAATTTTTCAAAATAATTGAATTTTGTTGTAGAATTTTATTGAAGTTTTTCCAAATAATTGAAATTCAATGAAGAATTTTATTGTTTATAAAAATAATTTTATTTGGTAAACAATTTAAAAAAAATTTTTAGAGTAATTTAATTATTTTGTACACCCAGAGAAAAAAGTTATTTATTTTAACTAAAAGTGTATATTTAAGAAAAATTTATTTGTTGCAAATAAATATTTTATTTAAAATAAATAAACTAATATTTATTTCAAATAAATGCACTAATTAATCTAAAATAAAGAAATATATTTGCAATTTATGAAATAGTATATTTGTAGCAAATAAAAAATATATTTGATTCAAATAAATGTTTGTTTGACTTATAAGTAGACGCCTGCGCATATTGCATTGCTATAGTAAAACAATAAGATGTTTTGCTTTTAACAGTTTAACGCGTACAATTATAAGAGGTTTATTCATCATGAATAGTTAACAAATTTAATTGATTTAAGTACAGAATTTTTCTTTTTAAGTGAAAATTTTAATTAGTACAAAGTAACAGATTTGTATGTGATTTCATTTACATTTTAGTGTCTTATTTGAGATTTTGTGAGAAAAATGTGACAGTGGACTTTTACATATGAAGTGAAAAAGTAAAGTAAAATGACTAACAATAAAAAAACCTGACTTTATTTAACAAATATTCTTATAAAAATAAACATTTATTTTAATGAATATTAAAAGTTCCATTAGTGATTGTGATTGTTAAATTTATTTGAAGGTTATAAGTGAATTTTAATATTTTAGAATGCTTACAGGATTTATTAAAATGAAAAGTGTTTTTTATTTGTTCTAAATATAAAATATATTTAAAGAAAATATAAAATTTTTTTCATTTAAATAAAAATGGATATTTAAACGAAATATATTAATTCAAATAAAAAATATTATTTGAGCTAAATAAAAGTTTAGTTGGTTCTGTGACAAATATCCTTTTTTATTTGTTTGAAATAAATTTTATTTAATTCAAATAAATCATTTCTCTAGGTGTAGAATTGAATTGAAATTTTTCAAGATAATTGAACTCAGTGAAAATTTTTATTAAAATTTACCAAAATAATTGAATTATATTGTAGAATAATATTGAAAATTTTCAAAATAATTGGATTCCTGTGAAGAATTTTATTGTCTATATAAAAATAATTGAATTAACTAAAGAATTTTATTAAAATTTTTGAAAATAATTTAATTTCTGCGAAGAATTTTATTGTTTATAAAATAATTCTGAATTTAGTGAAGAAATTTATTAAAATTTTTAAAATTAATTGAATTATTTTGTAGAATTTAATTGAAAATTGAAAAATAATTAAATTTCAGGGAAGAATTTTATTGTTTATAAGAATAATTGAATTTAGTGATGAATTTAAAAAAAATTTTTTAAATCAATTTAATTATTTTGTAGAATTGAATTGAAATTTTCCATGATAATTAAATTTAGTGAAGAATTTTATTGAAATTTTCGAAAATGATTGAATTTCTGCAAAGAATTTTATTGTTAATAAAAATAATTGAATTTAGTGATGAATTTAAAAAAAAATTTTCAAAATATTTAAATTTCTATAGAACAAATTTTATTATTTATAGAAAATTTAGTGAATAGATTTTTATTTAATTTTTTTAAAATAGTTGAATTATTTTGTAAAATTTTATTAAAATTCTTCAGAATAATTGAATTATTTCGTTGAATTTTATTCAAATCTTTCAAAATTGTTAATAATAGTTAATTATTTATTAAGTGATTTTCTTAAGTTTGAATCTGAAATTATTTCAAAATTGAAGTTAATACTTAATAATAAAAAATGGTGTAATTCTAATAGAAAATCGAATTGCTGTGAATTAATAACAATAATTAAGTAAAAATAATAAATAGTTAACAATAATTAATAATATTGATTTAGCATATAAAATTTGTTAAATCAGTGTTAATTTGTTGACGTTTAATTTTTATTGTTTGAATGTCTAGACAAAATGGAAATAGTTATTTCGTATTTTAGATTGCGAGTTTTTTTTTTTTTTTTTTTTTTTTTTTTTGTTTTTGTTTTCAAGTGAGAGAATAAAATTAGACAATTATCATTTTCAACTATTTGAAAAAAGAGAAAAGAAAAAAAATTACAGTGGAATGTAAACCTATAAATGATTAATTTATTTCGAATAAAGATTTTATGGCTTATGTAGGATTTACAACATACTCCTTTTTTTTATGCGCGATAATAAAATAATCTCTTGGTTGGTTGAGTTAAATGAAAAAAAGAGTGTAATTTCCACTTGTAAGTTGTGAGAAAGTATAAAATTTTTATTACCTTATATACAGTACTTTTGTATATTTGATTCAAATGTCAAAATATTAAGACGTACTATATGCGAAAAGAAGTATAAAAAAAAGTAGATTTTATAATATAATGCATTTTTTTCCATAAGAAAAATCTTTTTCTGCAAAATTCTTTATTCTATTCTTGTAAATATTTGTACATATTTTTAAATTTATATAGTTTTGGAAAAAAAAATTTTTGTTACATTCTCATCACATGAGAAGGTATTTATTTTTATTTTAATATTATTTTGTCAATGAATATGGTTCATTTCAATTACAATGTCATTTTGTCAATTCAAAAGTGAAGGTAAATTAAACACACGCTCTGTATAGAAATTTCTTTTTTCTTTTTTTTTTGGTGCAAGAGAAGAATTTTTCTAATTTAAAATTAAAATCAAATATCCGCCGAGAGAGGTGAAGTAAACAGTAAAAAAAAGAGCATTTTTTTGCTCGTGTTTCGCTTAGTTAATTATGCATTGTCTTTACTGCTTCTAGATTGTGGATTAGTCGCTCACAGGACTTGTTCAGCGACTGGTTTACCCTCTCCTTGCATTCCAACAGATTCTCGTGTTCATAGATTCACTTCAGGTACTTGAAAATTATTGACAAATTTTTAAATATCTCCATTAATTTTATTCTTGTTTTGATTATTTTCAAAAAGAAAATTGTTTCATATTTTTGAAAAAGTGTTAATTTTGAAAAATACTTTAGAAAATAGATAATAAATATATAATCTAATAAAATAATTAATACTCCGAAATTTTTTTTGTTACTCATAATTGCTTTCTTAGAAAAGTTTTTTTTTATCGGAGGTTTTTTTTTTTAAATGAAAATTGTTATTAATTATATTTTCTATTTGTTATTCTAATTTGTATTTGAAAAATAATTATTGAAGAAATTATGAAATAATTTTTCTACTTTAAGGCTAAATTGAGAATTTTTTGTAAAATAATTAAATTGTTTTAAATTTGTAATTAATTTGTTTTTGGTAATTTTATTAATATTTTCTTCTTTTTAGTCTTTGGATTAGCACTATGCTCGCAGTTCGACTCGGCAACTCGTACAGCTCCAATTTTAGTCGAAAGATGCACACGTGTCCTTGAAGAAAGAGCATTCACCGACACAACTTTAGACCTTTATAAAATATACTATAGTAGTCCGCCCAATGAACAGATACTTGAATTACGAGAAAAACTTAACGAGGGTAATTACCTTTTTACAAATTTTATTTGAAAAAATTAACTTTAATTTCCGTTTCATATTTTTCTTAATTTCTTTCAATTCCGTTTGATTTTGATTTAATTCTGTCAAAAATAATTTCGTACTCTTGATTATTATTTCATTTTGCTCAATGTTTTTTTGTTATTTATTTTTTTCTGGGTAGAAAATTTAAAACATTTTTTTTTCGTGGAAAATTAAAATAATTTTTTTTTAGAGGAAACTAAAAATATTATTTTGCATTGGAAAATATTATTTTGCATTGGAAATTAAAAATATTATTTTGCAGAGGAAACTGAAAATATATTCTTTTTTTTTTGCATAGGAAAATAAAAAATATTTTTCTTGTACTTTTCTTGTATTTTTATTTTTTCTTAAATTTTTTGATTTACGTTTTATTAAAGACTATTTTTGTATTTTTGAATTATTTTCGTTCAATTTTTTTTTGTTATATTTATTATTTTTCCAACATGTTTATTTTTTTCTTTACTTTTTTCGATTTACTTTTAATTTAAGACAATGTTTGCATTTTTGACAATATTTTTTTTGTAATTTATAATTTTTTTTCTATTTTTAAAATATTTATTAATTTTTTTTCCTTTTTTTGATTTGAGTTTAATAAGAATATTTAATATTTAAAATAAATAATTTATAATTTTTCTTATATTTTTTCAAAATTTGTTAATTTTTTTTCCTTTTTTCGATTTGCATTTATTTGGAATTTGTTTTCTAATTTTTCTTGTTATTTTCAGATGTGTGTAATGCAGATTTAACCCCTTACTCACCGCAGTGTATATCAAGTGTCTTAAAGAAATTTTTAAGAGAGTTACCAGATCCCATTATTCCCGTACAGTGGTACGATAGATTTTTGGAAGCTATTAGTAAGTTGAAAATTTATCAGTCAACAATTAATTCAATTTGTTAAATAATTTTCACCTAATATTAAAATTAAATATTTAAAAATCTAAATATTAACAAAATTCAGGTAAAACGGTAAATAAAAATTAACAATCTATTCTATTACCATAAGTTTTATTATTATTATTTTTATTAATATTGATATATTTTTCATTATATCCTTTGGTACTATATTTTTCAATTGTAATGTTATTTAATTTTGTTAAATTAATTAATATTTTTTGTAGTATTTTTGAATCATTATTGTTATTTTCTTTGTAATTATTATTATTTTGCATTCGCAGATTCAAGAAATGACGAACAATGTGCATCACATCTTACTAAATTGGTCTCGGAATTACCAGTGCATCACAAAGGCACTTTGCAGCATTTGATGGCTCATTTTTGTCGAATTTGTCAATTGCAACATGCCCGAGGTTACACAGAACCACCCACTATTCTTGTGCAAGTTATGTGCCACATTTTTCTCAGGCCTCCTTGGGAGCGGATCATGTAAGTAGATTTTAGAATAGTCATTAATTTCTTACTTAATGCTGTTCATATTACCCTCTCTAGAAAAGAAGTTTAAAATTTCTACTATAAAAATTAAAAATTCGAAAAATTGTTTGAATACACGTATTTTTTTTATTTGCATGAAGTAATTGTCAATTAAATATTTTTTGATAAAATAATTATAATAATAAAAAAGAAAAATGTTTTTGATACAATTTCTTTTCTTCCACAGTCAAGTTGTTCATAATACCGAGGCTCATATTCGTATAATGGAGCTATTATTACTTCATGGAAACTGGAATGAGAAATTACCAGAATTTGCGAGCCCTCCGCAATTACCACCAAGGAAAGTGTCTAGACCACCAATTCCGGTTCTTGAATCGTTTCCTGGTTTAGAGGAAGAATTGGCAGCTGGTGATCGTTCAACACCGGGAGAAAGTAACAAAGATCAACTACAACAATCGTGCAGGTAAAAAGAATATTTTTAGTATTTAATTTACAAAATTTGACCAAAAGTGTAAAAATTTCAATTTTCAATTCTTTTACTACTTTTCAATACAAATATTTAAAAATATTTTTTATCAAAATATTTTTATGTAAAAGTAATACATACAATTTTGAGAGTTTTCATTTTTATTTTCTGTTAAAAATTGAGAAAATAAGGAAGAAATTTTTTTATTTTTTTAGACCAAGAACTCTTCAGGAGGCCGAATGGTATTGGGGTGATATCACGAGGGATGAAGTGAATGAAAAAATGGTTGATACACCCGACGGTACATTTTTAGTTCGGAATGCATCGTCAAAAGGCGGAGAGTATACATTGACATTGAGAAAAGGTGGAACAAATAAACTAATCAAGATTTGTCATCGTAATGGCAAATACGGTTTCTCTGAACCTTACAATTTTCAATCTGTCATTGAACTTGTGGATTACTATCGAAATTGTTCTCTTGCCCAATATAATTCGACACTAGATATTAAACTTTTATATCCGATTTCACGTTTTCAACAGGTGAGTCAGTATTTTAGTTTTTATTTTTTTTTTCATATGGATGTTTTCGATTTAGATACATTCATTTCGATTGAAGTCAATGTCATTCAAAATTGTGTTGAATAAAGATACGGACACAATTTTGAATGAAATTAACTTCAGTTATCAAACAGGGTTGCCACAGGTCAGGGAATTCAGTGAAAAGTCAGGGAAATTAGAATTGGTCAGGAAAATCAGGGAGAAGTCAGAGATTTTTATTAAAAGTACTGGAAAAAATTAAATTTTTAGAATTTATAAGAAAATTCTAAATTTTAGAGTCTTTTTTGCTTTTCTCATAAACTATGAAATTGACAAGAATTCTAATACAAAACCTTCATTTTTTTCTATTTCTGACAATAATTTATTTTTAAATAACTTAATTCTTAAAAATCTATCATATAATTATTACTTATAAATTATTTAATGAATAATATTACTTAAAAATTTCAAAATCAATTGAATTTCAAAAGAGTCTTCATAAACAGATGACCTTCAAAGGTTTTAATTCGAAATTTTAGAAAATATCAACTATCAATGAATTTAAATAGAAATTTTAAGAACAACTGATTACAGAAATTCAATTATTATTTTTAAAAGTGATATGCTTCTTCGCATAAATTCAATTATGTTCAAAAATTTAAAAAAATTCTCGTTTAAATTTCAATTATTTTCAAAAATTTTCCTCATTTCAATTATTTATAATATCTACTATTTTAATAAAATTTTTCAATAGAATTCAATTATTTAAACAAAATATTAATAAAAATTTTACAGGAATTCAATTATTTATCAATTTTTTTTTATAAATTTCTTCGCATCAATTCAATTATTTTTAATTTTTAAATGAAGTTTCTCGAAGGAATTCAAATATATTCAGAAAATTAAAAAAAAAAAAAAATAGTTCTGAGAAATTCAATTATTCCGAAAAATTTAAATAAACTTCTTTTAAAAATTCTATTATTTAAAAAAATGTTGACAAATTTGTTTAGAAGATTTAGTTAATAAAATTGCAATTTTAATAAAATTTTCCTATATAATTCAATTATTTTCAATCCAATTCTTCTTAAGAATTCAATTATTTTCACAAATAATACATTTTTTATGGGAATTCAATTATTTTAAAAAATTTGAATAAAATTCTTTACAAGAAATCAATTATTTTCATAAATAATAAAATTTTTCTCGAGACTTCAATTATTTTCAGAAATAAAATTCTTCACAGAAATTCAATTCTTTAAAAAAATTTTTAATAAAATTCGTTGCAAGAATTCAATTATTTTTAAAAATAACAAAACTTACCGCAGAACTTCAATTATTTTTTTTTTGCAATTTTAAATAAAATGATAGAAAATTGCATTTATTCTTAAATTTTTTTTTAAAATTCGCCGAAATAATTCAATTATTTTTAAAATTTTTTGATAAAATTCTTCATAAAAATTCAATTTTAAGAAATATTCAATTATTTAATAAATTATTTATTCTTGTATTTAAATAATTGAATTCTTGGAAAATATTCTAATAAAAATTGATTAAAAAATGAATTTCACTTAAAATTTTAAATTATAAATAATTATTAAAAGCATTATAGCGTGAATTTTTATAAATTATTGAGTTTTGAAAAGGGTTAAAATTAAAATCTTTGAAAATTTGAATTTATAGTTGCAATATTCTGATGATATAAAATAATGATTTTATCACTCTCTCATGTTAAATTTCTTCATGTTTTATAATATTATTCTCAAAAGGTTTTGAATTTCAGAAGGTTTGAATTTGAAAATAATAGGCAATGATTAAATATTTATTTAAAAAAGAAGTTATTGATGTTTTTGAATAATTTTAAAATTAAAGAAATTCGTAAATAAATGTAATACATTTTTTTTTAAAATCTAATAATTTTTTGGGTGAATCAGAATATTCTTCAGTGTCAGGGAAAAAGTCATAATTTTTTCTGGAGATCAGGGAAAAGTCAGGGAAAAGCAAAATTAAAAATTGAAATCGTCAATTGCTGCAAAATGCCGAAATACTAATGTAAAAATTGTATTTTCTCTTTACAGGAAGACGAAATTGCAAGCAATACCGATATGTCGAAAGTTGTTCAGAAATTCATCGAAATCCTTAAGAATTTAAACGAAACTTTACGACAGCATAAAGATTGCTATGACCTCTATAATAGAACGGCTAATGAGGTGCAACTCAAACGCCAAGCCTTAGAAGCATTTTCAGAAGCCATTAAAATGTTCGAGGATCAGATGAAGTTGCAAGAAAAATTTCAAACTGAAGCTCAACCACATGAAATATCCACGTAAGTTGATATTATTTGAAAATAATTCCTCTTTTTACCCTTTCTATATTTTTCTATTCGAATATTATTATCGTTTCTTTTATTTTCCAACTGAGATGAATTTTATTCATTTGTTTGCTTTAGCTTGACGGATAATGCTGAGTTGTTAAAGCGTCGTCTAAAGTCCTTGGAAGATAGTAGAGAACAACTTGATGATAGCTTGAAGCAGCAAATTGCCTACAACAGAACACTTGAGCGTGAGATGCAAAAATTAAAGCCCGAGTATATGCAATACACAAAATTGAAAGATAAATACGCTGCGTAAGTATTTTATTTTTAAAAATGCAAAAAAAAAAAAAATAAATAAAAAGATTTTTATTAATTCTTTTCAACTTTTTCTACTTTTCAATAAATAATAACTAATAAATAATATTAAATATTAAAACTAAGAGAATGTCAATAATATTTATACTGTATATAATATTTTCTACTGATTTTTTATTTAAACTAATTTTTTTGTTACTGATTTATAATTAATCTGATTTTTTCATTAATTTCCGATTTTTACTAATTATACTGGAAATTTTTTAGTTGGCTAAAGAAAAATGGGATGCATCCGAACAAAATTCATCAATTAATTATGAGTAGTTCAACGTCAAATCAAACAGCTGGCGAAATAATGTATAATGAATTACAAGAACCTGATCTCGAAATTCATTCCGACGAGAAGGCCTGGTTGTATCTTGATTGCTCGCGTTCCAATGCTGATCAAATTCTTATGGGACGGCTCGATGGCACCTTCTTAGTTCGAAGATCGAGAATCGGACAGTATGCTTTATCCATAATGTGAGTAAAGATATTTTATTTCTATTTCAAAACATATTTTAAGAACATTTTTTCGAATAGACAATAAATGAGCAGTTTTGTGTAAAAGAAAAACTATTTTCTCGAAAAAAAGCACATTGAAAAATCTGCAAAAATTAATTTATTGCATAATTGAAAATTGGACAAACCAAATGTTGAGTAAAACTGAAATAATAATTTTTAAATTAGAAATTAAATAGACAGGGAAAGAAAATTACTTTTTAGAAAGAAAAGACTTGTCTACTGTCAAAAATAATACGTTGCATGAAATGTTTAATTCTTCGGATTGTTTATTATTAATTATTAGGAATATAGAGTGAAAAAGGAAAATATTTTTGACATGAATTGCGTGTTCTCAGGTGCAACGGTACCGTAAATCATTGCATAATTTACGCAACGGAAAGGGGTTATGGATTTGCGGAACCTTATAATATACATCAAACATTAAAGCATCTTGTTCTGCATTATGCGCAGAATTCTTTAGAAGAACACAATGAGAGTCTCACGACAACTCTAGCGTTTCCAGCGTTTGCATCTGCCAGCGCATTAACACACCTACAAGCTCAACAGCTTCAAGTACAAATGCAGGCACAGAATCAAAATCAATATCCGTTGACGCTTGAAAATCAACAATTTGTGCCGCATGCGTAGAGATTTTTTTCTTTTGAAAAAAAAATCAAATTTGAATCCAATTTCTTCTTTTGGGAGAAAATACCATCTCCTTTCTAAAGGACTTTTCTTCTGAAACACCAATTTTTCGCCGCTAAAACAACAACAACTACTACTTGTGAACGGATTTTTTGGAGGAACTACAAAAAAAAGGCAGGTAGAACTTTTCAATATCAATTAAAGATGATGAATAATAGAATTAGTACTAGCATTATTTATAATATTGTTAGCGGCTCTATATTTACAAATATTTCGTCAGGACCAACTTTTCGAATATTTCACTTTGTCAAATTGTGAATATTCACCTTTTTTGTCGAGTACATTATCACTCGATATTCTTAAAAACGCCAAGAAAGGGAAAAAAATTTTTTTTGATTAATTGTGGATAAAAAAATTCCATTTCCGTCGAATTTCGAACATCATTTTGTGAACGTTTTTCCCTTTATTAGTACAACGAATTTTTTTGATGAATCACGACGGATAGGGGAGTAAACAGATTTTTTATACATAGATTTTAAGTAACTTTCGTGCCAGACGGTACGTGTGTCGCCTCGTCCACAAAAAGAGGGATTTTGAAATAATTATCTGTGATTAACGGATCTGTCGATGGGCGAAGGATTGTATGTGTCTTTGTTTGTTTTTTTCTCTCTGCAAATTGAGTCGTTGCCAGTTTTTTAAAACAAGAAAAGAAAATACCAATAGTGGCGCGTTTATAAGGTGAGGCGGGGCCATGCCTAGACTCTTTTAAAATTTGCGAGACTCGCAAGTTCGAAGACATAATAATGATGTTGCAGGAATAATTAAAGAAAAAAAAAATTAATAATAATGGAAACAAAAAAATGAATGGTATTGCTCTTTATAGGGAGAAAATTTCGACACGAAGCCGGCTTCGTGTGACAATTTTCTCTCGTATTTGCAACAAATATTTATGGACATATGTATATCATAATATCTGATCAATTTAAAATGAAAAAAAGTAATTCAAGCAATCGTCCAACTTTTGCAGACGCTTTCTGTGCTACTAGTTATAGATTAACTTGAAGACGTACACTATTAAATGCTTTTTCGTGCAGATATCGAGTCAATTTTTTTGCTCGCTGGTGAATAATAATAGAAATAAACATTCGTGATTTGCGAATGTCGATTGAAAATTGACAATTTTTGGATTAATCGAATTAAAATTGATTTGGTTAATTAATCGATTGAATTAATTTACTAGTTGACAAAAATTGGTTTAATTAATTTACTTGGTTTAATTGAATCGATTTAATTAATTCACTGGTTTAATTAAATCGATTTGAAATTCGAAAATTGTTATTTTTCGATTGACATGGAAATTTCACATTATTGCTGATATTTGTAATTTATATATTCCCAATCAACACAAAGACTCATTGTATCAACTTTGAATGAAAGGGTCTGCGAGGAACATTTTTTATATTAAAAAATGTGACTTTTTTATGAGAATAATGTTATCGATATTCAACGTGTAATTGTCCACCCGTGTGTTTGCTCTTTGGAGTAACGATCTCGAAAAAAAGAAAGAAAGAAAAGAAAAATCTTGTATTTACAAAACGATTTGGTAAATACTAGATAAAAACTATATTGATTCTTACTCGGATATGATAGCAACATTTTTACGGACAAATTATAGATTCGGGAAATGTTCTCAACCCTTTTCATAATTGTAATAATAATAATAATATATAAATGTCAAAAAAAAAAACAGTCGGAAACGACGTTTTTAAAGTTGGCAATTTGAAAATTATATATTTAAAAAAGAGAGAGAAAGGAAAAAGAGGTAAATTAAACGTGCTATTAAAATTGTCTATCATAGGAAGAAAAAAAAAGTATCAGGAAGGCAATGTTCGTGAATTGAAAGAAAAATATTTTATTACATAATAAATTGAAATTCTTTTTAATATCGCTTTTACTGCAAAAAAAGAAAATAATAAAAACGAATTTTGCAGATTTTTAAATTTCGCTTTTCGACAATTCTCAACTACAAAAATTCGATTTAGAATTTTTTAAAGAAAAGTAATTTCAATGATAAAAACTTTTTTCTATTTAAACTAAAAAAGAGATCAATTTCTGAAATTTTATAGAAAACTGTTTTTATTTTATTTTCTATAGACTGAAAATTTGCTATTGCTATTGCTCGAAAATCAGTACAAAAGAAAAAACCGAAACAATCACTTTGTAAAGAAACAATTTTTTTATTATTATTTTAAAAGGAAATTTTCATTTAAAAATCGAATTGAAAAAAAATCTTTTTTCTCTTTGATATTTGTGAGAATTGTAATACGCGAAATTTTCTTTTTTTTAAGTATAATGTATAGATTGGGAGAAAATGATTTTTATACCTTTCCGCTTTAGATGTGACAAAAGGAAAAAAGAAAGAAGAAAAACAAAGTAATAAATGAATTTTAATGCATGTTTTTTGCTGTAATGAATTCAAATGACAAAAGTGAATTCTTTTTTGCAGTTTAAAATATGAACGATCTCATAGATTATTCATTATCAACGCGATTATTCATTTTCATCTGATGTTGTATATATATAAAATAAAATAATTCTTCATTAGTTAGATTCAAAACATATTAGAATCACACGTTGGTTGTCGAAGCTCAGCCTAATTCTCAGTAGTCAGTAGTCACTTCGCTGTTTCATTAAGAAATGAAAAAAAACAAAAAATAACAAAAACAAACAAAACAAAAAATACGAATCGTGTTAGTTGATGCATACAATAAAAATAAAATAGCTATATGCAAGGTAAAAAAAAAAGAAAATCATGAAAGAAAAAATATATATTACGAAAAAATATATATACACAAATATTATAAACATATAAAAAGAATATATATATGTATTTATATACATATATATATATATGCGTATATAATTTACTTATTTTCGAAGCAACATTTTAGTTATTATTTATTTGTGCCGAAAAATTGGTGAAATATTTTTCATTAGTGGAAAATGTTGCACGAATTTTTTTCTTTGGCAAAATATTTTATATGTTTGAAATGCTACATTTCAGATAACGTTTTTGATTATGTTATGTATATTTTACTTTTATTATATTCTTATTGTATTTTTTCTATTTTACTATTCTGATAGTACTTTTATTGTACTATTCCGAGAGTACTTTTATTGTACTATTCTGATAGTATTTTTTCTATTGTGCTATTTTTGTAGTATTTTTAATTGTGCTATTTTTATAGTACTTTTTAATTGTACTATTTTGATGGTACTTTTTCTATTGTACCGTTCTGATAGTACTTTTTATGGTACTATTCTGATAGTACTTTCTATTGTACTATTCTTATAGTACTTTTTCTACTGTACTATTTTTATAGTTCTTTTTCTATTTACTTTTTTCTTTGACGTTCTGTAATGAGAGTATTTTCTCTATAGTATTATTACGATAGTACTGTGTCGATAGTACTTTCGTTTTTTTAGTACTATGGTGATAGTATTTTTGTCTTACAGTACTTCACCCTTTAAATTAGCCTTGAAAGTGTCTGATTTGTTATCTTAGAAACATAAAACTGAAGATTGCAATATTTGGAAAAAAAAATTTTTATTTTTTCAATATCTGAGAAAATTTAATTTTCTTTATGCAAATTAATTTTCGTAAAAATTTTGACAAACTTTATACAAATGATTTTAAAGAATTGAAATTACTTTTTCTTTTTATTGGAACAAAATTTTGTAGAATTTAAAAATTTGTTATTGAAAGTGTTTTGTTTGGAGTTCAAATTTTGTTTAATTTAATTCTTATTTAGTTTCAATTTTAATAAAAAAAATTCATTTTTCAATTAATTCTCAGAAAAGATAAAATAAAAATTAATTGAGGAATTAAATTTTATAAAATCCTTTTTAAAGAAATAAATCAAAATTTAATTATTTTATTAATTTAATTTGTAATTAATTTCATTGTTAAAAAAAATTAAATTTTCAAATTATTCTTTGAACAAGAATAAATTCAAATTAATTCAGGAATTTAAGTTTAAGCAATTCTTTTCAAAGAATAAATTGAAAATTTAATTCTTTTATTAATTTAATTTTGAATTAATTTCACTTTTAATAAAAAATATTACATTTTTTAAATAAATTTATTTAAATACTTTTAAAATTAAAATAACATTTGAAAATTTCTTTCAAGATGGAAACATTTAACATAGTTTATGCAAAAGATTTCAAAATGGATTTTGCAAAATTTATTATTTAAAATTGGTTCTACCAAATCGATTTTATTAAATTGATTCTATGAATTTTAGAAATATTTTGGAAAATTCTTTTTGATAATTCGATTTTCTAAAATGTTTTGATAAAATGAGAAATTTTTGGTTAGAATTTAAAGTTTTTAAATATAAAAAATATTCTTACAGTAAAATTGAATAATATTTAATTAATTAATTTAATTAATTTAATTGAACTAAATAGAATTATATTATTTAATAAATAAAGTGAAATGGAGTTATAAATTAAATGGATTAGTAAATTAAATCGCTTAATAAATTTAATTAAAAATTAAATCAATAATATTAAATTTTAAAAAATGAAAAAAAAATTTCTTCTTCTATTAAAATTAATTTGTATAAAGAAGTTTTCTTTTTGTTGTCGATCTTCAGTTTTACGACAAAGAAAAATTACTAAACTACATAAATTCTTTATTATTTCGGAAATCAGCGACAATTTTTCTTGTTTTTTTTTTTGCAAACTTTTTTTTAAATATTTTTTTTGAAAATTTTTTTTTTAATTCTTAGATTTTTCTTAAAGTGGAGTTGCTTCGACCTCCTAACATGCATATGACTGTGAATATCATGAATAACCATAACTGGCTATAGGCGAATTACAATAAGTAACTAAGCAATAATCAGGCTGCTAATTGGTGTCGGTAACCGTAAAAGGCAAATTATCATTTGGCACGCAACGTGTATATGAACGAAGAGAATCGAACTTTCAATGTAATTGCGCCCATATTCGATGGCATCCTGTAGATTTTTTTTTATTTAAAAACAAAAGAAAAAAACTAAAAAAAAAATACTATACATACACGACAAGCGAATTGATGACAAAAATTTAAATCTCGAAAATTCGTGAAAGTAGGTTAAAAAAAACTTAGTACTTCGCTTCGTTTGCCGTGTATTAATCGATTTTGTAAATAGACGAATGAAAAAAAAAAATATTATCTATCGTAAAACTATTATTATTTTAGGAAAAAAAAATAATTTTTTTGTCCTTGTGATAAAGGACAAGAAGAGATCAGTAAAACAAACGTACACACCTGGAGCTGTGGGTGATGTATAGACGTGGAATGAGAAATAATAAAAAAAAAAAAATTAAAAACTAATAAATAAAAACGTTGCCTTAGCTTTTGTACAAGAAAAGAAACGTGAAAGAGAGACGTTATCAGCGTGCAAGAGGCGTTGAGAGAAAGACGTTTTTTAATTAATGCAGGGCGGGTCATGGTGATGATAAAAAAAAGTAATAAGTAAGATAAAGATATCCTTTATAATCGATTTGAGATATCCGCGTTAACTTGCCTAGCTGGATTAAGAAAAGAACGTCCCTAATAATGTGATGAATAAACATTGAGCACAGCTCCCAATTTTCTCTTAACTACTAGTAATTATAAATGTCGACGAAAAAGAATTATTGTCTTTTTTCAATTCAATACGAGAATCCACTGGGTATCCTTAACGCGGTGTATCCTTTTTTTACAATTAAATGAGACAAGACCAAGAGACTCGAGAATTCGAGTAGGGAAAGAGTTTTTTGAGCCTTGCAGCAAGGAAAATGAATTTGGTTTACGTGGGATATGAATTTAATTTAATTTTAAAATTAATCGTATTAATTAATTAATATTAATGTATATTGATATACTAATTAATTAATATATAAATTACTATCCAAAAATATTTTCGATAATAAACTTTTTTCGATTTATTTCATTCAAGAAAAGAATTAACATTCAAAAAATATTTTGGATAGTAAATTTTTTGGATTTACTTTATTCTATTCAGAAAAAAATTACTATTCGAAAAATATTTTCAAGATTAAGAAAATTAATTAATAATTACAAAAAATTTTTTTAAAAATATTTCGGATAGAAATTTTTTTTGGATTTATCAGATCCGGAAAAGAAATTTTTCCACTCGGGTGTGGCCACGTTCTTAAAGAGACCTCCTCGCGTGGACAATTAATTTATAATTTTAATAACAGAATTTTTTTTTATAGAAAGAGGTTAGAAATAAAAATTTTAATCTCCGGTCATAGGAATATTTGTTTGTGAACGATTTTTTTTACAACCAGTGTAAAAATGAAGTTTTTAATTTAAAAAAACCAAATTTTTTTTTGTAAAAATATTCCTGTGATCGAAAATAGTTTATTTTTTAATGCGATGAAAGAGAAGTTAGTTTTTTTTAATTGGGACTAAAGGGAAATTCGAAGAACTTTAGTCTTTGTGATAATCAAGTGAATCCTGTGCAAGGAGTACAATATCGTGTGATTTTATTTTTATTAGAATTACGATGTGGTCCTAAAAATTTTCGAACGTTCAAATGAATGATTGTGTTTTTGATATTTTGAATTTAATTCGAAAATATGAAAATATTTTCCACTTTCAAGAATATTTAATTAATATTTTAGAATTTCGATTTTAAATTATTGTTTTTTTGATACTTTTTTCGAAATTTGAGTTTTGATTGGAAAATATTTTTATAGTTTGAATTAATATTTTTTATTCAAATTTGGATTTAATTAGAAAGTGTTTTTATATTTTTTGAATTAATATTTGTTGTTCAAATTGGAATTAAATTAGGAAATATTTTTGTATTTGAATTAATATTTTTTTTTTTAAACTGAATTTAATTAGGAAACATTTTTATATTAGGAAATATTTTTTATACCTATTGAAATTAATATTTTTCGTTCCAATTTGAATTTAATTAGGAAATATTTTTGTATTTGAATTAATATTTTTCGTTTAAAACTGAGTTTAATGAGGAAATATTTTTATATTAAAATTAATATTTTTCGTACAAATTATTGAATTTAATTAGGAAATATTGTTGTTGAATTAATATTTTTCGTTAAAATTTTTGAATTTAATAATAGAAGATATTTTTATATTTAAAAAATATTTTTGATCTTTGTTTTTTGAATACTTTGAATTTAATTAGGCAAATATTTTTCTACTTGAATTAATATTTTTCCTTTAAATTTGAATTTAATTGGGAAAAATTTTTATATTAAAATTAATATTTTAAATTTAATAATTAAATTAAATATTTTTAATTAAAAAAAAATTAATTTTCTAACGAAGTAAATATTTAACTTATTCCTCGTTTTTTATTTTATTATAGTAATTTTTTGAAAATATTTAAGAAAAGAAATTTCGTTCATTTGTACGTTTGAAAATTTTGGGAAAATGAATTACGTCCAAGTTAATTCATATATTTGTAAATAGAAGGACGTGGTCGTTCTCGAGGAAGGGAGAGAAAATTTCTCTCCATTTGAGAGAAAAAAAAAAGAAAATTTATTATAAAAATCAATTTTTATTTTCGAGGAGTCTAAAAAAACTGATTTGCGAAAAATTAGGAAAAAAGGCGAAAAAAAAGAAAGAAAGAGGAAACAAAATGCATAATATTAAAGAGGGGAACAAGAGAAGGAAAAGTGAAAAAAATAAAATTGAAAATGAGAAAAAAATGAAAGAAAATGAAAGAAAATGAAGGGAAATATAATTGAAA